TGTCTGTATTTTAACAGGTCCGAGTGTGTCCTGTCCTCCGCATCTGTTCCAGTGTGGTAGTTCGGAGTGTGTGGACCCGTCTCTGCTCTGTAATGGGGTTACTAACTGTCCGGATGGTTCTGATGAGGGCGGGAGCTGCCAGAAAGATAAATGCTCTGAACAGTCAAAGTGTGCTCAGGACTGTCACAGCACACCTACAGGGACTGTATGACTTCCTCTTTCTGTTATGTTATAGTGACACTTTTTAAATATAAAATCTATCAGCCTCAAAGTTTTACTAATAATTTTGGCATGCACTACAGTTCAAAATTTTGGGGTCGTTAAGGTTTTTAATGTTTTGAAGTCATGTGCACCAAGGCTCAATTTATCTGACCAAATACAGTAAAAAAAAACTGTAATATGATTGTTACAATTGATATAAAAAATAAGTTTTTTATTTTAATATATTATAAATTGATATTTATTTAAATATTCCTGTTATGGGAAAGCTGAAATTTGTCAATGTTTTTGTGGAAACCATGAAACTTTTTATTTAAAAAAGTCCTGAAATTTTTTGGTCAATTTAATGCATCCTTGCTGAATAAAATAAAAATTACGTTAAAAAAACCTACTTTTTTTGAAAAGTAGTGTGTTGAAACTTTAGGTTAAATTAGATTAAATAATTTTTACAACCATTGAGTCAGATTTAATACATTACACAAATAGGGATATAAAATACTTTGATACTCCGCATGACCCAATGACTCTAAAAGGCTTAAATTAAAAGCATTTTATCAATGTTGACCAGTTGGTGGCACTATCCTCAAACATGTAAATATCAGGGTGCAAGCTCTTGGTGCTCGGCCTCTTATTGATAACTGCTTTTTGCTTCCTTCCACTGTTTTTATTTTCTTCCTATAGCGCTGTTGGTGCAGGATCGGCTACAAGCCTGTAGATGGTGGTCTGGGGTGTGTGGATGTGGATGAGTGTGTGGAGCGTCCAGACTTCTGTTCACACTACTGTAACAACACTCAGGGCTCATTTGTGTGCTTCTGCAGCCAAGGTTATGTTCTGGAACCTGACGGTCGCAGTTGCAAAATCACAGGTGTGTGTGTGTGTGTGTGTGTGTGTGTGTATATATATATATATATATATATATATATATATATATATATATATATTATGAGCAAAAATGTATTTTTTTTTTTTTTTTTTCTGGGGTTGTAAACCAGCATAGGTTATGTTTGGAATGGCATGCATACTGAGCAGCGTACACAATATTTTGTTTTTAATGCGCAAGACCGTAAGAATTATGCAACTAACATTTTAAACAGTACTACATTTTTATATGACCTAATTGGATGCATATTTAATTGAATAGTGCCATCCAGTTATCTCACATCATAAAGCTATTTAGCATTGCAAAGAGTTTAAAAAACATGATATATATTATTTGATCTTCAAAGCTTTCAGAATATTTACTTTTTAAAGACATTTCATCCCGTATTTTTAAATTAACATTTTAATGACGGTATATTGATTTAACAATCAAAATAAACGGAAAACGATTCAAACTTTGCTGACGTGATTTTTTTTTTTTTTTTTTTTTTTTTTTTTTTTAAGAAAATATGTAAAACAACTTAAAAAAAAAAATTCATAACCCACAAAATGTGTTTTGTGGGTTGTGTTCAACACAAAATGAAAAAGTCTGAAAATATACTATGGAAGTAATAAAAAGCACATTTTCCTTAAGGTGTGCCTTTTAAGCCCTTTTGTACCCATATGGTAGAATGCTATTCCGAATATAGTCAGTGTTAATGGCCTTTCCCACATGCATTAATCAGACATACTTTGACGCACTCAAGCACCCCAAAGTATGTTTATTGACTTCTCTTTACACAAGTAAAATGTTGCCCCATCTCAGGTGAGCCGTACCTGCTGGCGTCTGTGCAATCCGAGGTCTTCCTGCTGGGTCTGAGGAGCTCCAGTCTGGACGTTCTCCTCTCGTCAGAGAAGCACTTTGTCCTGTCGCTCGACTATGATTGGCAGCAGCAGAAAATGTATTGGATCAACCTCAACACTGACAACATAAAATGGCTGTCACTGGATCAGAAGAGCAAAGGAACCCTCATTAAAGGTCAGTAGTTATTATTTGGTAACCGAAATAAAATTGAAGTATTTGATGGTACAACATATTTCAGTCTAATTTTTATTTTATTTTTACAGTGTGTTTAAGTTGAAATACTAAACTGAAATAAAATAAATTAAAGCTAAATGGAAATAAATACTATAATAGTGCATAATACTAAAATAAGTTAAATGTGAGATGCAATAAAATAAAGGAGCCATCTACATTCGTACCATTTTGTCCCTTTTGTTAGTCAAGGTTATTTGCACAAAAAATATCATCTAGAGCTTAATTAGTACATAATTTGAACTGAAATGATCAGGGCATTAAATTCAGACATTTATGGTAATGCCTAACCTGACTTGAAATGTAAATGTTTTAAAGTATTCATGTTTTTGACATGGCAGAATGGGGAAAGTAAGTGTCTACCGGTATCTTTATATGTCAGGTATAAATGCAGACAGTCTGGCAGTGGACTGGGTGGCGAGGAACCTCTACTGGGCCGACAGTGTCAACAGCCAGATCAATGCAGTGGGACTGGAAAGTGACGCCGCCAAAACCACAGATCGAGTGATGATCCTGGGTGAAGATCTTGGGCAGCTTCGCTCCATCGCTCTGCTGCCACAGAAAGGGTTAGAATAAGCATTTTGTCACATTGTTGATTAGCAAATGTGTTTTTTTTTTCACCAAACATTTGATTAAATCAGAAAATTAACATCAAACAAGACATTTTGCTGGTCAGTTTTTTCTTTAAAACGATTCAAAGAAAAGAAAAAAAAAAAAAAAAAAAAATATATATATATATATATATACAGTATACACACACAATCAATGCATGTGATTCTCAAAAAAACATATATATATATGTGTATGTTTTTTTTATTTTTATTTTGAATAACATGCATTGAGTGTGTGTGTGTGTGTATATACTGTGTATATATATATATATATATATATACACACACACACAATCAATGCATGTGATTCTCAAAAAAAAAAAAATAAAAAAAAAAAATATATATATTTTTGAGAATCACATGCATTGATTGTGTATATATATATATACACAATCAATGCATGTGATTCTCAAAAAATAAAAAAAATAAATATAAATTAAAAAAAAAAAAAATATATATATATATATATATATATATATATATATATATATATATATATATATATATATATATATATATATTTATTTATTAACATACACTACCCTTCAAGATTTTTTTTTTAAATTACATTTTATATTTGAGAACCACTGATTTTGAATGTCTTATGCAAGCTGACCCTGATATTTGTCATCCTTTCAGAATAATGTTCTGGTCCGAAACGGGGGACGAGGCTCAGATAGAGAGCGCAGGAATGGATGGCTCAGACAGACGTGTGCTGGTCAGTCACTCCCTCCGGTGGCCGGTCAGTCTGACTGTGGACTCCATTCATCACAGAATCTACTGGACAGATGAGAAACTCAAGTGTATAGGATCAGCCAATATTGATGGAGGAGATATTAAGGTAGTGGATGTCCAACAGGCCATCTGAGAACTGTAGCATTTCACACAATTTATAATAGGGCAAAATACTACAGTAGCTTCCAACATGCTTTGCTAGTACTTGAATGTGTTTACAGTTGCATACCTTGTCTCTGGATCAAAATGTCCATCAATCCGTCTGTTAGAGACACTGGTGGATGAAGTGGTCGAGTAATATTTCATTAGGGCATCTATACTTTTACTGAAGTGAAACTGAAAAGGATTATGTATACCTGAGTAAAAGTAAAAGTTGGAGTTGCTGGTAATTTAATTGTGCAATTAAGCTAAATATACCATATACAGCAGTATTTTAAAATTGGGGGAAAAATAATTTGTGTAAAATTGTGGGGATGACTATATACAATGCACACGCGTCACATGGGGCAAAATGCGTTAACATTGTTGCATTAAATAATGTTATGCAAACATTTTAGTTCTTTAAAACCACTTCAGATGGTGAGACAAATGCAGACATGGCCCACATTCATGCATTTTAAGTCATAACCTGAATATGATATTTGTTTACAATAATCGACAGTAAAATTCAACATTAGTAGATCCGACAATACTCAATTTCTTGGCTCCTTCTGACTAGATCGTTGAATCTTGATAGTTTATTCAAAAACGGCTGTAGTCGGATCAGTTGCGAGTAAATCGTTTACTGTGATTTGTGAACCAATTCAACAGGTTTATTGGTCTCAGTGAGTGGCGATTTTATTCATTTCAAAACAAGGAATGATAGGTTTTTATGAAGTGTAGTAAAAATAATATGCTTTGGAATGTAGAGAAATAAATAAAAATAGTCTGATAAACAAATACTTGAAGTGTACGGACTGTTCACCACTGGATAGATATGGGTCATCGATGAAAAAAATTAGGCATTAGGAGTTGAAAATGATCAATTTGATCCCAGTGTCTTTTAAAAACATAATTTCCCCCCTCCATCTTCCATTATTTTGCAGATCTTGCAGCTGATGGAGACTCCCACTCCATTCTCTGTGTCTGTATTCAATGATAAGGTCTACTGGTCTGATACCAAGAGAGGAACCATTCAGAGAGCTCAGAAAACCACGGGCAAACAGCACCAAGTCCTGCTCAAACGTCCTGGACAGCCATTCGGTTTGAAGGCAAGTATTTCTAAACACTGATCCGTAAAGTGTACTTGCTTTGAAACATACATAAGTAGGATGTAATGAAGTTTAAATCCGGTGCTCGTGTGCCTCTGCAGGTCATTCATGCTCTTTTCCAAGTGGGCGTCTCTAACCCCTGTGCTTCCCAGCACTGCTCTCACCTGTGTGTGTTAGCACCAGGGCTGAAGGCCGTTTGCAAGTGTCCATCTCAGTTGATGCTGGATGAAGATGGACTCACCTGCTCCAAACCCAGAGACTCATCTTTCCTGCTGTTTCTTTCTCCTGCTGCAGTCACACAGGTGTTGCCCTTCATACCTGATGGTTAAAATTAGATGTTAAGTCATAAATGTTCATACATAGAGTAGGTCATCTTACTGTGATTTTTGCTAAAATGACAATTGAACCTTTTTGGTTCTAGCATATGGTCAGGAAAAGAGTCTTTTAGTACTGTTTTTGACAGCAGTGTTTTATGATGTTTAGTCATGCATGCATGATGCAGTCAAAAGGTGAAGCACAACTCTAGTTAAGTTGCACCAAACGGAGTTGCAAAACTAATGGTGTGTGTGTGTATATATATATACACTCACCGGACACTTTATTAGGTACACCTGTCCAACTGCTCGTTAACACTTAATTTCTAAGCAGCCAATCACATGGCGGCAACTCAGTGCATTTAGGCATGTAGACATGGTCAAGACAATATCCTGCAGTTCAAACCGAGCATCAGTATGGGGAAGAAAGGTGATTTGAGTGACTTTGAACGTGGCATGATTGTTGGTGCCAGAAGGGCTGGTCTGAGTATTTCAGAAACTGCTAATCTACTGGGATTTTCACGCACAACCATCTCTAGGGTTTACAGAGAATGGTCCGAAAAAGAAAAAACATCCAGTGAGCGGCAGTTCTGTGGGCGGAAATGCCTTGTTGATGCCAGAGGTCAGAGGAGAATGGCCAGACTGGTTCGAGCTGATAGAAGGGCAACAGTGACTCAAATAACCACCCGTTACAACCAAGGTGGGCAGAAGAGCATCTCTGAACGCACAGTACGTCGAACTTTGAGGCAGATGGGCTACAGCAGCAGAAGACCACACCGGGTGCCACTCCTTTCAGCTAAGAACAGGAAACTGAGGCTACAATTTGCACAAGCTCATCGAAATTGGACAATAGAAGATTGGAAAAACGTTGCCTGGTCTGATGAGTCTCGATTTCTGCTGCGCCATTCGGATGGTAGGGTCAGAATTTGGCGTCTACAACATGAAAGCATGGATCCATCCTGCCTTGTATCAACGGTTCAGGCTGGTGGTGGTGGTGTCATGGTGTGGGGAATATTTTCTTGGCACTCTTTGGGCCCCTTGGTACCAATTGAGCATCGTTGCAACGCCACAGCCTACCTGAGTATTGTTGCTTACCATGTCCATCCCTTTATGACCACAATGTACCCAACTTCTGATGGCTACTTTCAGCAGGATAATGCGCCATGTCATAAAGCTGGAATCATCTCAGACTGGTTTCTTGAACATGACAATGAGTTCGCTGTACTCAAATGGCCTCCACAGTCACCAGATCTCAATCCAATAGAGCATCTTTGGGATGTGGTGGAACGGGAGATTCGCATCATGGATGTGCAGCCGACAAATCTGCGGCAACTGTGTGATGCCATCATGTCAATATGGACCAAACTCCCTGAGGAATGCTTCCAGCACCTTGTTGAATCTATGCCACGAAGAATTGAGGCAGTTCTGAAGGCAAAAGGGGGTCCAACCCGTTACTAGCATGGGGTACCTAATAAAGTGGCCGGTGAGTGTGTATATATATATATTATATATATATAAAATTTAAGCTTGCAAGCCATAAAAATAACATGTCGAGAGGACATACAATTCTAGAAATGCACAAAAAAAAATAATAATGGAGGGGCACAGAGACTAATATATATATATATATATATATATATATATATATATATATATATATATATAGTATCTGTGCCCCTGCATTATTTTTTGTGCATTTCAAGATGGTCCTTTCCTTGCTGTTAGTTTTTTGAATTCTTGTTTTCTAAATTGCTTAATTTTTTGTTTTGTTTTGTTTTCAAGATGGCTGAACACCACCTCATAAAAATACCAATCGAGAGGACATACAATTCTAGAAATGCACAAAAAAAAAAAAAATAATGGAGGGGCACAGAGACTTTATATATATATATAAAGAATTCAGATGCAAAAGCCTCTAAGTGCCATTTGAAATTTTCTTCTAGAATGATCATTTTTATCAAGCTTGTATATTTAAGTTCAGTAATTTCACTTAAATGGCAATGATAATTACCTATTAATTGTTATTTAAGTGAAATTACTGAACTTAAATATACAAGCTTGATAAAAATCATCATTAAAGAATAAAATTTCAAATGGCATTTAGAGGCTTTTGCATCTGAACTCTTCATATATATATATATATATATATATATATAGTATCTGTGCCCCTGCATTATTTTTTTGTGCATTTCTAGAATTGTATGTCCTCTCGACGTTGTTATTTTTATGGCTTGCAAGCTTAAAGTTGGTGTGGAATTTTCATTTATTATAATAATATTGGGTTATTTAACCCTAAATGAATAATTCTGAACACAATGTGCATGGAGCACAATAACATATTAACCAACCAATGGATGGAACCAAGTCTCTGTCCTACGTTTTTCTTTTTCGATAATCCATTGCACTCAGATGCACGTCACAATATGAAAGAGAAGATCATTTGTCTCTAAGATAATGTGATCTAGTTGGCCCAACATGGGTGAGATGTAATCGAAGTGAAATTACTTTTAATATACATCTTGAAACTAAGCATCAGTAAGCATGTGATAAACCACAAACCAATCAGTAATGTTTTGCATTATATGTTGTGCTACTGTTTTCAGCAAAAACAGCGTTTATGGATTTGAGTTAACTTTTTATAATTTAGTAATTAAATAATTAAAATTTAAATTGAGCTTTTTTTAAATTAAATATAAATATAAACTGACATTAAATGTGAAAAATAAAAAGTAAAAAATCATTACAATTGAGAACTTCATGCATCTTTTAAAAGTCTTCTATGCAGTGTTTAGTCGATGAACGCAGTTTGTCTTTCTCTCAGCTCTATTTACAGAACAGACACAGTGGCGTGAACCTACAAAACTGGCCTGAACATCGCCGTTTAGACCTTGCCAACATGAACAAGCCAACCATGTTCGATTTAGTGCTGCGTGACCTCACCCTGTACGTGTCTGATGGTGGTCAGCCCGTCGTGAGGCTCTTCAAGATGAAGGACAACACGCTGGTGCCTCGTGGGAAACTTCTCCAGCTACATAAAGACTCACTGCGTGTGTTTGCCGTGGACTGGATCACCCTGAATGTGTACTGGAGCAGCGAGAAGATGCCCGGCCTGCAGGTCACCTCACCAGACGGCACACACACCAGTGTGTTGATACAGAACGGTGTTGGTGTCATTGAGTCCATTGCTTTGGACCCACCCAGTGGGCGCCTCTGCTTTTCAAACAAGGTCCAGGGAGGTCAGGTGACCAGGGTGGAGTGTGCCTATATGAATGGACAGAACAGGACAGTGGTGTGGAATAGTTCAGTCCGGCCGACTTCACTGCTCTTGACGGATGAAGGGAATAAAGTGTACTGGGCCGACACTGGTATGCTTTTTTCCTGAATGATCAAAAATAAAAACATTATTAGTTTTATTTTAAATGTAACTTCACAATATTATATTTTAGAATGTAATTCACTCCTGTGATGGTAAAGCTGTATTTTCAGCATCATTACTCCAGTCTTAAAGGGTTCGTTCACCCAAAAATGAAAATTCTGTCAGTATTTACTCACCCTCATGTTGTTCAAACCCCGTAAGACCTTCGTTCATCTTCGGAACACAAATTAAGATATTTAAGATATTAAGATCGCTCCTGCATACAGTCCATAGGCTTCTTCAGGGAATGACTCTTGCTGGCATCGAAAAGTCATTAAAGACATCGTTAAAATAGTCCAAGTGACTACAGAGGCTCAATCTTAAGTTTATCAAACGACGAGAACACTTTTTGTGCGCAAAAAACAACAAAAATAATGACTTTATTTCACCTATTCACTTCCTTCTCTCTGTGCCTCTAGTCAGTTGACGTAGTGTGATTGCGTAGAGCTACGTCACACGAAGGCTCACTATTGGCCGACGCTGGTCACGTGTGTGATGCGTGTGACGTACAATAACAGAAGCTTACGCTATTAAACTAGTAACCTGACTCAAAGCATAGAGAGAAGGAAGTGAATAGGTGGAATAAAGTCGTTATTTTTGTTGTTTTTTTTGCGCACAAAAAGTGTTCTCGTCGTTTGATAAACTTAAGATTGAGCCTCTGTAGTCACTTGGACTATTTTAACGATGTTTTTAATGAATTTTCGAGGACAGCAAGAGTCATTCCCTGAAGAAGCCTATGGACTGAATGCAGGAGCGATCTTAATATCTTAAATATCTTAATTTGTGTTCCGAAGATGAACGAAGGTCTTACGGGGTTTGAACAACACGAGGGTGAGTAAATACTGACAGAATTTTCATTTTTGGGTGAACTAACCCTTTAAGTGTCACATGATCCTTAGGAAATCATTCTAATATACTGATTTGCTGCTCATGAAACATTATTTATTATCAGTGTTGTAAACCGTATTGCTGTATAATGTTTTTGTGGAAACCATGATACATTTTTAGGATACTTGTGTTTTATTTGAGCTAAAAAACATTTATAATGCAAGTCTTTACTGTAACTTTTTACCCACTGTTGCTGAATAGAAAATCTGGAGCTGATATAATGAAATATACTGGACTTCTCTCTAGGTCTTGCAGCAATTGGTTCAGTTGGCATAGATGGTTCTGGATACAAGGAAATAAAGACAGAAGGCGGCTTGATGGCGTTTGCTTCGATTAACAAAGTGCTTGTTTGGATTACTAAAAAAGGTACATTTGTATGGGGAAGTTTTGTGCTCTTCCTGTGGGGAAAGCCAGATGATACCAGCATAATGTCTCTATTGTTGTTTAGACTCCACTAAGTGTTGGTTCAGTGATGATGAGCATACGGGGAAGCTGTGGTTTGAAGTGGACACCGAGATCGTCAGTCTGAAAGCATTCGCAAAGTCGAGACAAAAAGGTGAGCAGGAAATCGTTTCAGAGTCTCGTCGCTCTAGTGGAGACACAGATTTGAGTCCATTTCCTGATCAAAAACATGGAAATTATGGAGCATTAATTATTCTGTTTCATATTTCAGGCACTAATCTCTGCTCTAATGGTAACGGAGGCTGCGGTCACCTCTGTCTTGCGTTCCCCGGAGGAATGACGTGCCATTGTGCCCATGATCACCGCCTGGTCAACGGCAAAGACTGCAGCTCTGACCCCCGCTGCCCTGAAAACGCCAAACCTTGCCTGAGTGAAGACCTGTGCCTTCCTCAGGAGAAGTTCTGCAATGGCGTCGCGGACTGCCCAGATCACTCTGACGAGAACTGTGAGGAATCACCAATCCTAACCCTTTGGCTTACATTTTTAAAGTATTTTAGGGAGGAAAAAGTTGACTTTACTAACAGTGTGCGTTATGCACACTTATTTTTCTAATTTCAGTTTTATTTGTTAAAGTTTTGTCATTTGTAATAGCTATTTTATGCGTTTAATTTTTTTAGTTCATTTAAAATGAGATGCTGAAAGTTTATTCTCAAAAATAAACAGATGTATAAAGTACTAGAAACCCGGACTTGAGTAAAAGTACAAGTGCTCTGTCAAAAAAGTGATTTGAGTAGAAGTTGAAGTGCTCTTTAAGCACCACACTTAAATAGAAGTACTAAAGTATTCAACATTTTTTGTGCTTAAGTATTGCAAGTAGTTTATTTTAAAATTCACTACTTAAGTACTAAAAGTAAAAGTACAAGTATTGTGTCATGTAATTATTAAAGAAAGCAGTCAAAAGTTGGAACTAGCAATCAAATAAGGGGCTTTGGCGGCCACCAAAAAAATGTCATTGCAGGACAACCCCTGCATTAGTTGTCAATGTGTGCGTCAATCAATACCATTACCCTATAAAACTGGTGAGCGATTTAGGCAGCATGAAAGCCAACTTGCAACAAATGATTTGTCAAATTTTTATAATTGTAACGAGTAACTAGAAGAACATTAAAAAAATATTGAAGTAAAAGTATTAAATTCATCGAAAATATCTACTGAAGTAAAAGTAGAAATATGAGAAAAAAACAATACTCTAGTAGAGTGCAGATCCAGCATTATAGTACTTAAGTACAGTACTTAAGTAGTTCTACTTCGTTACTATACATCTCTGAAAATAAAGAATTTCAGTTCGGTTTTTATTAAGGGTGTAACGATGTCCTTATGTCACGATTCGATACATATCACGATACTAAACTCACAATACGATATAATTGCGATACTCCAAGACATATGATAAAAGGTAAACAAAAAATGTACTGTTGATTAAAATGCTAACTTTATTACATTGTGGCTTTAAATAAATAGGCTTGGACTCGGTGCTTGTAACCCAAGGACAATGGTGACACCAGAATAACAATATTCATGATTCTGAAGCTGAAAATACAGAATTATTTTAGACGAATACTCTTGCTCTCTGTCACTGACTAGATGTATTTAAAATAATGTTGGCCACTTTTTACTGGTAACATCAGACATTTGGCATTATCAGGACCTACAAATATTCCCCCATTGCATTATTATACATTATAATCACCATTATGTATAGTGGTTTAATGTAGTACTGACACTAAAACTCTTCTCACACTAATTTTTATTTTGGGGAAAATATCCACGATACGTATTGTTGCATTTTTGTATTGTGATATATTGTGGCATGATATATTGTTACACCCCTATTATTTTAAGTAACTTTTTTTTAAAGTTCTAGTTAACTATATAATAACGCTGATGTTTTGATTTCTCAGGTCTCCAAGATACACATAAAAACGTTCGGATCAATCCCAAATCGTTCCGTCCAGGTTTGAGTGAGAACGTCATACCAGAGAACGTGGAGTCTGAGGACTGTAGCTTTACGCTGTGTAACGGCAACGGTAAATGTGCGACCCAGAACGGAGCGACCGTGTGCGTCTGTGACGCGGGTTATGGTGGAGAGCTCTGCCAGGACGTATCGGGTGGGCTCTCGCAAGGGCCGGTTCTGTACGGAGTGGTTGGACTGTGTGTCGCTGTGGTCGTCCTGGGCGTTACCGTCGGCATCATTCAGAAGAAAAAAGCCACAAATCGGAGGTACACTATAATCTGCTTGCTTTTATTTGCGCACGAAGGTTGAAATTAGTAATGATTGAAGCGTGTTTGTGTGTTTAGGCAAGCAGCACAGGCTGTGGATGTGCAGGAAACGGGCATGAAGGATATAGAGAAAAGACATGAGCCGTCTTCAGAAAAACCTAACGCAAAAGACACAGAATCGTCAGAGGTAGGAAATAATAAAATGTAGGGGTGTAACGGTACATGTATTCATCCTGAACAGTCATGGTTTGCAGTCAGATGATAAAACACTCAGTCACAGATGATCCACACTCCAATCCACAAGGGGGCGTGCAGTATTTACTCACGGTCTACTAATTTTTCTTTCTGTGATTTGCATCTGTTAATGTAAAATTAAAATAGAATGGTAATGATATTAAAGGATTAATTTACCCAAAAATGAACTGTCATTTTACTCGCCCTCTTTTAATTCCAAAAGCACTTGATTCATCTTTCCCTGCCATTGCTGACGAAATTAATTAGCAAAGATGGTGTAATATTCGATGTGAAAATGCTTCAGAGGGTTCTAGAATGACCTCTTTAGTAAATCAGTTTTTTCTTTACAGAAAGTTATATAAAACACCTTTTGTGCTCCACAGAAAGAAGTTCATATTTGGGTGACTGATTGACTGTCATTTTGGGTGAACTATTCCTTTAATGCGAGAAGAGATAAATCATGTCATATCTTGTTCATGCAAATAAATGTACTTTGTTCTGTCTTAAGGAAAACGACGTAACGTCTGTGGACTAGCTTCACCATGTCAGCTGTAGCATCTTGGTTTCTTTGAAATAAAGTCTTGTTGCAGTTTATTAACTTTGCCATCTGTTTTCATTACTCATTATCTGTATTTAATGGGTAATTTACTGATATCTTGGTTTACCACATAAGTACAGCAGAATTTTTTTTTTTTTTTTGCCGCCGCACCACATTGTGTAGCTAACATACCATGATTAAAGTAAATTAAGAAACCTATTGTGAAATGATCACCTTTACCACAAAATAAAAATTTGGGAAGGAAACTGATGGGGAAAACTGGCTGCATGGAAACCTTTGGCCTATCCTACAAAATGACCTCCAATTCAACAGGTTTAATGCATTTAAAAACTGTAGGAAGATACAAAACTAGAGGAGGTCCTTGACATCTTAAGGTAACAATTTATAGTTAGTTACATACTTAAATGTAAGTAATTTTTACACTTACATTTAAAAGGAATTAAGTACGACTAAGGCTATGTTCACACTGCAGGCTGAAACGACCTAATTCCGATTTTTTTGCCCCTATGCGACCTGTATCTGATTTTTTCATGACAGTCTGAACGACACAGATCCGATCTTTTCAAATGCGACCCAGGCCACTTGGGTATGTGGTCTAAATCCGATATGTATCCGATCTTTTGAAATGCGACTTCAATCTGAACGGCCAGGTCACATATATCCGACCCGCACGTCATTGCACGCACCTGTAGCTAGCCAATACACTCCAACTCCAACGCGTTTCTGCACTGTTATGGGCCGCTGCAGACGTGTCTCTTCCCCAGTGTTGTGCCTGAACGACGTTCAATGAACGATAGTGCATGAACGCGTTCATATTTTCGCGTATCATATTATTCACGTTCGCCCGAAATAAACATACTGTATTACTGCCTGATAAACATTACTGTGAACACGTTCATTCTGGTGTATGTGAACGTGCGCTCTCTCTCAGTATAACTTTGTACAGTAGGGTGCCAGATATAGAGCCTTCCAAGCGAAAACCTGGCTAAAACACATGTGAACATGCCTTAAAATGTAGCGAATAACCACCCAATCTGGCAACACCGCGGCCGCCGGTGACAAAGCAAGGAGCGCCGCGGACACGCACTATCAATTAAACGGGTTTTATGACGAGGTCGGTGAGGATCGGAAAAATCTTACATTTATGTGCAAACTGCCCGTCGATAAAATAATTATTGTCGGTGTTTGTATATGGGCTGTGGCAATAATAATAATAAAACAAAAGCTCGTAACATATGAAAAAAAAGAACTATTCTGCAAACAACAAGTGACGTCTTGGACCGTTGATTACTCTTCTGCGCATGCGGGTCCCTTCTGGGTCATTTCACGTTCACACAGGAGATCACAAAAGGTCGCATTTAATTGGAAATGTGAACGGCCTTGCAAAAAAATCGCATTTTTTCAAAAAAATCGGAATTGAGCATTAAGCCCTGCAGTGTGAACGTAGCCTTAGTATTCGTTCTATTTTAGAAAAGAGATTTTAATCTAATAATTTGTCTGCATATTAAGCATCACCCTTGGCTAGTTGGCTTCCCAGTGGTTCACCTTTACATAGTGTTTCACAATTGATCAAATTCAATATATTTTTTTTATTTCAAATTAATATATAAGATTAAATTACATTATACTTTACTATTAAATTAGTTTACAATTGAATTACATTTAAATTGTAAATTAAATGTGTGTTTTTTAATTTAAAAATTATCTAATGACCTGTCACATGATCAAGACATGTAATAAAATGTTTCAGTAAACTGTTGATCAATTCAAATAAATTGATTTTAATATGGTCCAGAGAGAAAGATGCAGACGTTAACTGGGTTTTGGTTATGAATATGGACCAGTTTTCGTTCTATGATCCCTTCATTCAGCTAGACCATTACAATGACTTCACTCCTGAAATGTACATCTCTGATCACGCCAGACCCTCCATTCCCAGGCCACCACAACACCCAACATCAATGGTGCAAGCACTGACCTTTGGTGACCTCTGCCCTCCGCCAAGAGGTGATTAAATAACGACCAACTATCAGTTTTCATCTGTCGACCCCAAGGAGTGGAGCTCGATGGTGCGGACAAACCTCTGTCCCCTGGTCAGTTATCCTCCCCGCGTCCAAGAACGGCCAAGTAACAAATTCGCATGCAAAATACCAACGGGCCAAAAGCACCAGACCCCCTGAGGGTCACTGAATCTAACAGAAAACAAAGACTGTTAAATACATTGGCATTTGGCAAATCTACCAATTAAAAAGATATATATATATATATGTATATATAATTTATTTACCTTTAAAGGCTTGTTAACTCCAAGAGCTCCATCACTCTAATTCTGGAAGTCCACGCCGCAGCTGTAATGATGGCAAAACTGATAAACTGTTGTTGGAGCCCTTTAATAAATAATGTCATTGTTCATTCATCATATCCATACTCATAACATACTTCTTGACAGGCTGGAAAACTGGGTCTGGCTTTCTGGGATTGTCCTAAAATAGTTCAGCACAGGTCATTAGGCTGGGAGACGTTATGTGAGTATAGAAGACCATGAGTCTGAGTGGACATCCATGACTGTGGAGTCCCTCAAGGCTCAATTCTTGCGCCACTCCTGTTCAACCTGTAAGGTACATGTCAAATAATGAGAGGGACAAATTGGTCAATGCTCATCACCACAGCTATGCAGACGACACACAGCTCTATAGCCCTAACGCCTAAGGAGGATACAGACTCCCTGTGTATTGAAGTAAACAGTTGAATTTCCAAAACTTTCCTCAGATAAACAGACAAAACTGAAGCAATTGCGTTTGGAAACAAAGATGAAGTTCTGTAAAGTTGTAGATCTTTTTTGTTCCACAGAAGAATTTTTATTGACCGCTTTTAATCTTAATGTAGTGAGAGATTAATGTATGTATTATCTTTTTTATTTTCAAGTATGCACTATTTGGGAAGTTAGCAGTGCTAACAATGTGCTATAAACGAAAGAAAGAAAATACAGGTTTGAATGACGCTGATTAAATAATGCCCGAATATCATTAAAAATTTACAGGCCTGTGTTTGTATCCACAGTTTGTGCTTTGTTGATTAAAAATCAAGTTTTGACTGGTTTCCAGCAGTGTTTTTCGTCTCTGACTGGAATCTCTGCTGTAGGCTGTTTCTGTCGCACTGCGGCTGCTCTCAACATGTTTTCACCACAGACACGACGATTAATGTGTTCTTATAAAAGCATTTGAGGCGTTTAGATGAATTCATCTTTACCATAAGCGTTCACAATGAGTATCCCTTGGGTGTTTTCAATTAAATTCAGTCAACCAAACAAAACATGTTTACTAAAATGATCAAATCAGCGTCTTTGATAACCACAGTGGTCTGACTTCCGTCTAAAACCTTGCTAACCAAATGTGAAATTACAGAGAAAAGGAGCATAAACACATCAAAGTTTTGACACCAAATTTGTCCATGTGTGAAAAAATAAATCTCATATAAATGTGCTCAGTTCTGTTCAACCTGTCTTTCAGTGCAAGACTGTCATACGCAAATATTCTTGCGTTTTTCCGAGGAGCTTGAACTATAGGTAATTTTTTTTATTTTTATTTTTTTACCAATTTATGCTTTCATACTGGATGAATTGCATTTTTAATATTGCATTTTTTAATCGTGTTCCTTTTGTAATGTAACAGTAATCGTATTGTCCGTTAAATGTACACATTGTTTAATCAAATTTATTTCTCTAACAGAGAGAGACGCTTAATAAGAGATGGATGGTTTGGGACCAGCACTGTTTGGATTATTTGTAGTGTCTTTTACAGTTTCTAAACCGGTAAGGACACTTCATTTTTTCATTCTTATTTCAGGACACAACCACATTGCAGTCTCATTATAAGCATACTTCGTGGGTTATTACAGCATTTGCATCCATTTTTTGCTTTTATTAATAACATTTTCTACCAAACTTTTTCTTATTCCCTATCATTGTCCATGGCAATGTATGGAATTTACGTGCACATTTATCATTAGTTTCAAATGGAATTGTGAAATGGATCGCCAATCATTTTGTAAACATGTTTAAAGCTTGTTTTAAAAGAAGCTGTCATTACTTTATAATTAAGTTTGAACCAATCTAAACTATATTTTTATATTTGATATGACTACTATATTTTATCTTTGTGCAACTAAAGCACTCTGTATAGTTCTTTACAAATAAATTGTGATTTTATTTAAAGAACACTTGCTCTTGGTTTCATAGACAAAGCTTAAACTAGTCTGCATGTTTGAGCCGTTTTAACTGAAAGCAACTTGCACTAAAGTATCTTAAAATGTCAGTGCCATTGATTGGTCTCAAGATCCACTCAAAAGCTACTTAAATGCCCTAATTGAACTAAGGCCTAATCTTTGCTTAATCTAAGCCCTGTCTGTGAAACCAGACCTTGATCTGATGATTATCTATGTACAATCCTCTGACAGGTTTGTCTGCATCACGAGCTGACATTATCCACTTCTGAATCCTCTGAATCAAATGAGATGACAAATGAGTCATTATCCACTTCTGAATCCTCTGAATCAAATGAGATGACAAATGAGTCATTATCCACTTCTGAATCCTCTGACTCAAATGAGATGACAAATGAGTCATTATCCACTTCTGAATCCTCTTCGGAGGAGATCATAATACAGAGAACCACAATAGAACCCATTGTGCTGAACACCATGAGACTGGACAGCCTGGAGGACAACCAGCATCAAACCAGTAACCATACTGCACATCCGGGCCTTGCGCTGACTACACCTAACCCTGCCGACACTGGGCAGAAGGTTGTGGATTTGGGCCTGGATACAAGCCTCGGTCCTCTTGATCTCGTGTCTCCAGACCTCACCACCCCAGAACTACGATGTTACACGGTAGAGCTCACCAGTCCTGATCCCAAACCTGCCAGAGGAGATAACATTTAATCAGCCAGCATGCGTATATTTTACCTGACTTGTCTATTCTTAAGAAATGTGATGGTGTGTGTGTAGCAGGCTTACCTTAGTTCTTATTAGTAAGAGGTTGACCAACCTTTTCTCCTTTTTCTCCGTTCTTCTGTAGCAGTTGATCTAGGCTGTCTTCTGAATCGCACTACAACTTTCATGCTTTGCATTTGTTAAAATGGTGTTTTTCATTTACATCTTTAAATATTATTAGTTTAAAACAGTTTTTAAGAAGTATGAAATGGTTATATAAAGCAAAAGACAAAGAGGCATCCTGACGTTTATAAGGGACAAGAGTTTTCTCAAAAACGTGCAAAATAATATAGTAAAATCACTTCATTTTAACTAATAAAGCATTGGGTTATAGAATGATATTTGTGAGTTTTTTTTTCCCCACATTTAAAACGCGCAACAATTTGGCAATGACTCATAATGGGTTAAATGCAAATTAAAATAATTGCACAAAAATAATGTCTAATTTTTCATTTGGAAGAATGAATAGCATAAAAACAGGTCATATTTTTGATAAAGCACTTTATCAAAAATAATCTCTCATATCTCATATACATCTAAAAATGGCGCTACCCTTTTAACGCAACTAATGTATTAATGATTCTTGTGGATAAAGTTGGCAACATGTTTACTGCTTGGCTAGTCGCTTGCCCTCGGTTTCACAGACTAGGCTTAAGCTAGTCTCAGACTAAAATGCATGTTTGAGCAGTTTTAACTGAAAGCAACTTGTAAGGACATATCTTAAAATAGGCTACAGTAGTCAACATTTGAAGGGGATCAAAACCTTTCATCAGAGTTATACATGAATTCGTCCTAGAACAGCTTTTTTGATCCAATATCCACGTTAAATGTTGACAGATCAGAGCCATTGATTTGTCTCAAGTAGTAAAGCACACAGTAATGTTTTTTTCCTAAAGCACGTTTATAAAGTTTAGTTGGTAACACGTGTAGGCCTATAATGTCTAAACATTAGCCTACTAAATAATTAATAGAGTTTAAACCAAGTATACACCCCTTAGGGGACAAGGGTGGGAAAAATTACGAGGCCCAGTTGTAGACTTATCATAATTTCTAATATAATCTTTTCATGACTTACCAATTTTTTTCCTTCTTATGTGTGGGAAATGAGCTTCCCATCTTCTTCTCGAAACAAGTGTCTGCTGTTAACGTTTGTCACGCAGCTCATAACTTCTGCTAGCTCATACTGAGAATAACTGCTCATTCCCTGTGTAAGAGCCAAACAGTTTTAAGTGTAAATCCATTCATATATTCAGAAATGGGCATAAATACATAAATAAAAATTCAAAATACCTCAGTTGAAATTTATCAAAGTAAAATACCAAATACTGTGTTTTTTTTTTTTTTACTTTGAAAAACAAAAACAGTATTTTGTATTTGGAAAATAAATGCACGCGAAATTGGCCATTCAGTGAATTATCACTATCGGGCTGAAATCAAGGACCTATTCTGAATGTAAATTACACTAGTGTTCACAACTGCTTAGAAACTTGTTTTTATTTCACTACCTCTTCCCCTGCCCCGTAGGAAATTAGTTTTTCACCATCATTACTTCTCTAACAATTACTCATTAACACACACACACACAAAAAGTTACTGAATGACGTATGTTTTCCGACATTTATTGACCCAATACTGTTTAGCATCAGCAACTTTTCAAAAAGACAGGCTTTAAGGGTCTGTGTGCAAGATGCCAAATAGAGGTTACACTGCAGCCTTTTACTGAACACTATAAATCACATGTAAAACTGTGGGAACAATATGATACTCACTGCTTCTCTAAAAACCCAAAGTAAAACCCTGAGGTATCCCATGAGTCATCATGACTCCATTGAGATTTAGTATGGTAGCACTGTTTTACTGTTTTCTTACTTGGACTTATGGACTATTCATGATAGATTGTTTTATTCTCATCCAAAGTGCTTCAAACACAAATGCTGTATGTGTGTGAATAACAGAATAAAAGCTGCATGAACTTGTGTTTCACAAGTGGGTGAGCTCACCATTCACTGCTGCCAGCAAAACAACACGTGAAGGTCACAAATAACCCACCGCCGCAGGAACAGGAGACACTGCAGAAGTTAGGACAGACACATCATAACAGGATGGTGCTGGTTTGAACCCTGCAATTCATGAAGTTTGGCCAGCATTGTTTCTGAGAGCAAAGTAAGGTGGAATAAAAGTACACTTCGGATAAAACTAGTCATTTCATTCTCAAAAATGCTTGAGTGTGTACTACAAATATCAACAAAAGTCACACTCAACAAAACAAGTAAAACAAACTTCTGGGAAAAATACCAAGGACAAGATTCTTTCTAGAAGGAAAACTTTAGGAAAATAAGATTGCTTCAGTTTTTTTATTAAATGAAAAAAAGATATATTACGCAATGTGATCATTTTATTTTTTGTAACACAAAGCTTGTTTCTTGCCCAGCATTAACCAATAAATAAGCATTCAATAATTTTTAAATTAACAGAGTTCGGCCATGATGGCCACTGTC